CCTTAGAGGATTTAGTCCCCTCAGCAGTACGTCAAGAAATAGTGGTAATGTCTCCATTCTTTTTTTTTTAATAACATTTGTTAGAGTTCTGTGCGTGTTGGTGTGTGTTTTGGTTTGGTTTTTGATTACTGTGAAACAACACAATAGTACTACTACCTGAGAGTGTTGTCCTGAGAAGGAAATCAGATGTCAGCACAGAATGCTTAGTGCTGGGCCCAGTTCTTAATAAATATGCAAAGGGAAAAAAATCTGATCACCAGGAATCACCTCTGTGAAAACTGAGGCTCTGAGAGCTGGGGTATTGATCTGCCTCCTGATCATAAGACCCTCCCTCTCTTCTCTGCCTTTCTGCCAGCAGCACTGGGCTGCCCACTTCTGGCCTCCTTCCTCCATTTGGCCCTCCTTGTTAGGTCTTCCTGGCATGGCACGTCTGTTCCAGGTAGGAATTTGTGCTCCTATTTGAGCAAACTGATTAGCTAAGGAGTATAAACCTGTTCCTTCCTGCCATGCCTCTTAGGATGAAAGGCTGTCTTTTGCTACTACGGAAATGGCAGTTCTACTAAAGTTTAGAAATCATGTGATAACTTCTTCTTCAGGACTTGGCAGTTTTTGAATCAGATCTGACTTCTACAGGTAAACCTCTACAGGGAGATCGGAGGCCTTCCACCTATATCACACACAGCTCATCTGAAAGGAAAGAGGAGTTAGATTTATCCCCTCTCCCCAGTTTGGTCAGGGAAGCAACACCGTGCCCAGAGTTCTGTGTTCTAAGTAGGAACCTAATCTTTGTCGAGACATATGGACCACAGGCCCTTAGAGCTTCCAAACCATCATAGATCTTACACTTTTTAAGCTTGGCATTCTTTATTCAACCACAGTGTTCTTTAGGATTCTGGTGGAGAGGGTAGGGGCAGCAAATAGAGATCCTTGTTCCCCATCCCCTTGGCTTTCTCTGTTGCCTTCCCTGGGCCGCCTTCCATGCCAGAGAAAACCTGAAATCATTGATCTAGTCTAATCTCAATGATTTTATGGTTATATAATACATTTATTTTTTTAAATAAACTTTTTATTTTGAGGTAATTGTAGACTTACATGCAGTTGTAAGATATGCTGCAGAGAGACTTTTGTATCCTTTATACATTTTACCTCAATGATAATATTGTATAAAACTGTACTTAATATTACAATGAGGATATTAATATTGATACAATGACATAACGCATTTCCATCACAAGTGTCCTTCCTGATGCTTTTTTATACCCACACCCACGCCCTCTCTCCACCACTAACCCCCAGCAACCATCATTTATTCTCTATTTCTAAAATTTTGTCATTACAAACATGTTATATAAACGGAATCATACAGTATGTAGCTTTTGGGATTGGCCTTTCTCGCTCAGCATAATACCCTTGTGATCCATCTGAGTTGTTGCATCAGTGGCTTGTTCCTTTGTATTGCTGAGTGGTATTTCATGGTATGGTATTCATGGAATTTCAGTTTGTTTAGCCATTCACTAGTTGAAGGACATCTGAGTTGTTTCATTTTTTGCTGTTACAAATAAAAGTACTCTGAACATTCATGTACAGGCTTTTGTGTGGATGTAATATTTATTTCTCTGCAACAAATGCCCAAGAATTCATTGGTAATTGCATGTTTCAATTGTTAAGAAACTGCCAAACAATTTTTTATGTCCACCAGTGATAGTTTCTCTGTGTCTTCACCAGTTTTTGGTGTTATCACTATTTTTTATTTAAGTTATTCTGATGTATAGTAATATTTTATTGTGTTTTTAATTTGCATTTCCGTGTTGACTAGTGAGAGTTCCTTATATATTTCAGATGCAAGTCTATTGTTGGAAGTTGGTTTGTAAATGTTTTCTCCCAGCCTGTACTTTGTTTTTTCATTCACTTAACAAGGTCTTTTGCAAACAAAAGTATTTTATTTTGCTGATAGCTATTTGATCAGTTTTTGCTTTTATAAATCAAGCTTATGGTGTCAAATGTGAGAACTCTTTGCCTACTCTTAGATCCCAAAGATTTTCTCCTATTTTTTTCTGAACATTTTACAGTTTTATGTTTTTAATTTAAGTCTGTGGTCTATTTTAAATTAATTTTTGTATAAGGTGTATGGTTTAGAGACAGTTCATTTTCTTGCCTATGGATGTCCAATTGCTCCAACACCATTTGTTACTCCTTCATTGAATTGCATTTGCAACTTTATCAAAAATCAGTTGCCTGTACTTGTGTGGGTCTTTTTCTGGATTCTCTGATTTTTCCGTTGATCTTTGTGTCTATTCCTCTGCCAGTATCACAGTATTTACTATTGTAGCTATTAGTAGACCTTAATATTGAGTGCAATGATTCCTCCCACTCCTTTGTCAAGATAGTTTTCATTATTCTAGAGTCTCTGCCTTTTTCTATAAACTTTAGAATAAACTTGCCTTTGTCTATAAAAAACCTTACTGGGATTTTGATAGGAGTCGGATTAAACCTATAGATCATTAAACCTAAAATGAGAAAGGTTGACATTTTTGTCATGAACGTGGTATGTCTCTCCATTTATTTAGGTCTTACTTTATTTCTTTCATTATCATTCTGTAATTTTCAGCATATAGATCCTGGACATGTTTTTGTCATTACCTTTGGGATGTTAGTGGTGATTATAAATGGTGTTCTCTTGTTGTGATTTTCAAATGTCCATTGTTAGTATATAGAAATGCAATTTATTTTTGTGTGTTGATCTTGTATCCTGTTACCTTGCTGAGCTCAGTGTGGCAGTGTTTGGGTTTTTTTGTTTTGTTTTGTTTTTGTAGATTCCTTGGGAATTTCAAGGTAGACTGGCATGTCACCTGCAAACAGGAGCAGCTTTATTCCTTGTGTTCTAATCTGTATGCTTTTTGTTGCCTTATTGAAGTAGCTGGAACTTCCAGTTTTGTGTTAAACAAGAATCCTTGCCTTGTTCCCAGTCTTAAAGGCAAAGTACTCTTTCATTATTAAATATATTGTTAGCTGTGGGATTTTTGTAGATGGTCATTATATCAAGTTGAGAAAGTTCCCCTCTATTCCTAGTTTGTTTGTTGAGGTTTTTATTATGAATGGATTTATTGTGTTGGATTTTGTCAAATGCCTTTTCTGTATCAATTGATATGATCATATGATTTTTCTTAGCTTATTAATGTGGTAGGAATTTGTGAATATTGATCCAGCCTTAGATGCCTACAATAATCCTGTGGTGTATAATTCTTTATAGTTTTATCAATTCAATTTGTTAATATTTTGCTGAGGATTTTTGCATCCAAATTCATGGGAAATAGTGGTCTGTAGTTTCCTTTTTTTGTACTTTCTTTGCCTGATTTTGATATCAGGGTACTACCAGCCTCATCAAATGAGTTGGGAAATGTTCCCTCCTCTTGCATTTTTTTGCAAGTGACTGGAAATTGGTGTTAATTCTTCTTTAAACGTTAGGTAGGCCTCTTCACTGAAATCATTTGGACCTGGATATTTCTTTTTGGGGATGATTAAGTATGAATTGTGTTACTTTAGTAGAACTATTCAGATTATCAGTTTTGTTTTGGTTAAGTTGTTACAGTCTGTGGTTTTTGAAGAATTATTCTAAGTTGTTCAGTTAGGTTGTTCTTAGTATTCTCTTATCCTTTCAATAGCAACAGAGTCATTCTAATATCCCATTTCATTCTTGACAATAGTGATTTGTATCTTCTCTTTATGTTTGCTAATCTTGCTAGAAGTTCATCAATTTTATTCATTTTTTGGAAGAACCAGCTTTTTGTTTTATTAATTTTCTCTTTTCCCTTTTCTTTATTTCTGTTCTTTATTATTTCCTTATTTCTTCTTCCTTTGGGTTTAATTTTCTCTTTTTCTGGGTTCTTGAGGTCAGAATTTCAACTGTGGATTTCTTTCCTCTTTTCCAATGTAAACATTTAGTCCTATGAAGTTTCCTCTCAACACTGCTTTAGCTATAAGCTCACATATTTTAATATGTTGTATTTTTATTATTATTCAGTGCTTTGTATTTTTTCCCAAAATTTCCTCTTTGATCCATGGATTATCTAGAATTATATTGCTTTATTTCCATGTATTTATATACTTCCTTCCTGTTTTGATACTTAGTATGATTCCATGTGGTCAGAGAACATACTCTGTATGATTTCAGTTTTGTTTTTTGGTTTTTTTTTTACCTTTATGAGGTTTGTTTTTTGACCCAGTATATGGCTTTTTTTAAAACACCAGATTTTTAGGAACTCTGTAGAGTCCTGCCCACTCCCTGTTACTTCAGTCTGCCTCAACACTTCAGCTAGAGCTCACATTGCTTGTCTCACAGGCAGACAAGAGAGGCCCAGAACAGCATTCTAAGGGCCTCTGAGTTAGTGACAGAATTAGACCTTAATCCGCTAGAGCTCCGCCTGCTTGGACCAGGAACCTGGTTCATCCTCCCCATGGAGCCTTTGCCTTCCATGACCCTCCCCATGACATGTGATGAACACACAATGAGGCTGAGGGTGGGGTGGTGTGGGGAGAGTACAGAGGAGAGCCAGTCCAGGCCCTGTGCCCCTACACCCTCACCTCTTTCTAATGGGGTGGTAAATGAGGAGGGGCAACTCAGATGCCTAAGAAGCTTAGGCCCAAATCTCAGAGACAACGTCGGGCTGTCGCCCCCCTCACCCAGGTCCGCCGGGCGGCCCATTCCCACCCTTGCAAACGGTCCAAGCGCAACGCTGAGAGCTGTCGGGGCCGCCGCCGCCATTACCGCCGCCGCCAAAATACTGTACTCAGGTTTGGCAACCAGCTGCAAGCCGCTGACACCTCATCTCCTTCCTACAGGGCCTACAAGAACAGTGAGGAGCTTCGGTCTCGCATTGTGTCTGGGATCATCACACCTATCCACGAGCACTGGGACAAAGCCAGCGTAAGCAGTCCCCACCGGGAGTTTCCCCCTGCCACTGCCAGAGAGGTGGACCCACTCCGGATTCAGCCACACCACCCACGTACCAGCCAGCAGCCTCCTTGGTGAGTACGGAGCCTGTGGTGGGCGGCCCATACTTCTGCAGACAGATTCTGGGCATGACCGTCTTGCCACTTGACCCCTCTCTAGTCACCACATATCTTCAACAGAATTGTCAGCTTGGGTGTATGGAGATAGAAAGTGGGGAGATAAGTGGGGCAGTGAGTTCTTACACTGCTGTTAGTCACCTCAGCTGCCCAGCTTCCTAAGGCTGCCTGCCTCCTTTCTAGAGGCCACAGGGAGCTTCTAAGTGTGCCCAGAAGTCAGTGCGTCTGGGGCGTGTGTGCAGTCCTCCAGAGGTGCTGTTCAGTTATTCATTCCAGAGCTCTTTGTCTGTCAGGACCCGGACCAGGCTTTTGGGAAAAATGTAAAGATATAGAAGTATTGGAAGTTCCTCAAGGAGATGTAGTCCCAGTGTTCCCTTTTCATTTCACTTCATTATGGTCCCTTGACCTCTTTGACAGCTTCAGAACTTTTCCAAAATAGCATGAAGTATGAGTAAGTTAAAACCAAGATCTTTGCAGATTAGAATGGCAGCATTTAGGACTGGAGACTTCTGCTCTGAGGGAGGAGACAGGGACCAGGGACACCTTAGTCTCTAGCTGAGACAGCACTTCCCAGTTTGGAGTCCACAGTATGGTAGTAGTGGTAGGGTTGGTAGGTGGTGAAGGAGGATTTACTGTGTGGCCCTCAATAATAAGCACTCACTAAGTGTTAATTACCATTGTTACTTTATTCTATTTTGCAATTATATACCTTTGGTCAATTAAGTAAATGGGAAATCTATTTAATTACTATAATAAGTAATAATTGGCAAGTCTCTTTGTCAGTCTTTGGAAATACTGAGTCCTATGGGGAGAGTGAAGAATAATGAAAAGTGGTTGAAAGGTTGAAAACAGCTTGTCTGATCAAACCTCCTTGATTTACAGATGGGAACAAGGTAAGATGACCTGCCTAAGGTCACCAGCCACTAATAAAGAGACAGAGCCAGGGCTGGGGGTCCAAGTGTCCCCACTCCAGTGCAGTGCTCTGCTGTGATGTAACCACAATATGGTGGCAAGATTTAAGGATAAGTCCTGGACAGCAATCAAATTAGGGGAGACTTTTAGACCTTAAGTAGATAGTAATTGTCAGCTGTCTCAGATTCACTTTCCACTTCAAAGCAAATATTCTCTGAAATCTCCTTTACTCTCTCAAAATGGAATTCATAGATAATCTAATTTACCAAATGCACAATTTCGAAAGGGATCAGTATGAAGTCTTAACTATAATATAATATAATATAAAATAAAAAGTGAGTAATTAATAATAAGATGTGTATTTCATTGTGTAGATGCCCGAGCATGATTACACTGGAAAAGATAGATATCTGCACTTGTATGTGGAATTATCTTGAATTTGAGAGTAACAAAAGCAGGCACTACATTATAGCCACACTTCTGGAAAAATTTGTATTAAAACAGGATGAAAATACTTTGTGTTCACATACAAAATGCCCTTAGACTAATTTATGGTAGGTAATTTTATGTAGGCTATACATCTCTATGAAGTCTCTAACAAGACTTTGGAAAGTTGTGTGGGATGAAGATCATTCTTCATTATGGAGCCTTGCTGTGAGTTGTAGAGTATAAAGCATCTCTGGCCTTTGCCTATAAAATGCCATAAGCACTCTCCAAGCACTGTAGCAAGCAGAACACCCCCAGGACACCTGGAGGCTCTTCAATCCTAACTGGAAATCATAGACCTAAGTCTGAAATTATGAAGGTAAAAAATCCTATCCTTGGAAGATCTGAAAGAATTAGAAAATCACCATATTGCAGCTTCTGAAATAATGTGGTGACTAGGCACAAATTGCCAGTGGTTACTAAAACCATTCGGTAAAAGGTTGATGGGCCACTTCATAATGGACAAATCAGACTGATAGCACCTGAACTCATAAATCAGTCTTAACACTAAAAGTGGGACAGCCAGACATTGTGTCTTCTAATACAATGCAATGGTGGGTTCATAGCAGCCTGAATCTAGATTGAACTCCCGGTTTAAAATAAGCATGAGGGGTAGAAGAACAAGTTAAACAGATGCATGTGGATACATGGATTCCAGCAAAACTGAAACATGAAAAATTTTTACAGGATAAATTCATACTGTTTTTTCATCAAATAAATGAATGGCATGGGAGAAAAGGAAAAGGGGCCTGTTAAGTCTTATCAACAAAATACAGTGTTGGACATTGGATCTTGATTCAAACGAACAAATTCTAAAATTCTTGAGACATTTGGGGAAATCTGAACATGGATCAGGTATTATTTAATATTACTGCTAATTTTGTTAGGTGAAATAAATTCTGGTTACATTAAAAAAAAAGAAGTCTTTGTCTGATATATATATGAATAATTTTATTAAATGAAGTTTCTAAGGGTGAGATGATATGTCTGGGATTTGCTTTAAAATAATTCCACCCCCAAAAAGGGTAAGACATTGGGAAGTGAGTGTAGGTGAAATATGAATGGTAGAATATTGATAATTATTGAAGCTAAATGGAAGGATACATGGGAGTTCATAGATTATACTAATTGTACTATTTTTGGTCCATTTGAAAAATTTCCTTAATGAATTTTTTATTAATGCTAATCCTTTAAAAACTCTTCCAAAAAATAGAAGAGGAAAGAACACCTCCCAGTTCATTCTGTGAGGCCAGTATTACCCTGATACCAAAATCAAAGACATCACAAGAAAATTATAAGACAGTATCCCTTATGAATATGGGTGTAAAAATCCCCAACAAAATTCTAGCGAAACAAATCCAGCAACATATAAAAATTATACACCATGACCAAATGAAATTTATTCCAGGCATGGTTGGTTTAGCATCCAAAAATAGATTGGTGTAATACACCATATTAATAGAATAATAGGCAAAAAACACATGTTCATCTCAATAGAGAAAAAGCATTTGACAAAATCTAACACCCTTTCATAATAAAAGCATTCAACAGTGAAAGGAGACTTTCTCAATGCAGTAAAGGTATCTGCAGAAAGCACACAGCTAACATCCTACGTAATGAAGAAAGATGAAATGTTTTCCCCCTAAGATCAGGGACAAGACAAGAATATCTGCTCTTGTAACTTTTCTACAGCATTGTGCTTTGTATTTCTAGCCAGGGCAATCATTTAAGAAAAGGAAATAAAAGGTATCCAGATTAGAAAGTTTGAAGTAAAGCAATCTTTATTTGCCAGTGACATGGGATCTTGTATATAGAAAATACTAAGGAATCCTGTTTAAAAACCTTTTAGAACTAATGAATGAGTTCAGCAGTGTGACAAGATATAAGATCAATAGGCAAAAATCAGTTGCATTTTCTATGCATCAGCAGTGAACAATCTGAAAATGAAATTAAGAAAATCTCATTTATAATAACCCCCAAAGGAATAAAATACTTAATAATAAATTTAACAAAAGAAGTACAAGACTTGTGTACTGAAAACTAAAAAGTGTTGAAAGACATTAAGATTTAAATGAAAAGACATCCATATTCATGGATAGGAAGACAGTATTGGCAATACTCCCCAAATTGATCTACACATTCAGTGCAGTGCCAATAAAAATTCAAGGGATTTTTTTGTTTGTTTGAGGGAGGGGTTTTTTGTGGGGGTTTTTTGGTGGAAATTGGCAAGCTGATCTTAAAATTCATATAGAAATGCCAGGGAACCAGAAGAGCTAAAACAATCTTTAAAAAAACAAAGTTGGAGAACTCACATTTCCCAATTTCAAATCTTATTACCAAACTACAGTAATTAAGTATAGGGATAGACATGTAAAGCAAGAGAGTAGAATTGAGAAATAACCCATAACATTCATGGGCAATTGATTACAACAAGGATGCCAAGACAGTTCATTGGGGAAACAATAGTCTTTTCAAATGGTGCTGGGATGCTGAATATCCACATGCAAAAGAATGAAGTTGGACCCTTCTTCAAAGTATACCCAAAACATTTACTCAGAATGGATCACTGATGTAGATTTAAGAGCTAGAATTATAAAACTCCTAGAAGAAAATTTAAGAATTTTCATGACCCTGTAGTAGAAGTGGTTTCTTAAATACAACACCAAAAGCACAAGCTACAAAAGAAAAAAATAGATGAATTAGACTTCAGAAATAAAACCTTTTGTGCATGAAAGGACAGTATCACAAAAGTGAAAAGACAGCTCGCAGAAGAATCATATATTTACAAATCATGGATCTGACAAGAGACTTGTATCCAGAATATATGGAGAACAACTCAGTAATAAAAGACAACCCAATTTTAAAATGGTTAAAGAATTTGAGGAGACATTTCTCCAAGGAAGATGTACAGGTGGCCCATAAACATGTGAAAAGATGCTCGTCACTAGTCATTAGGGAAATGGAAATCCGAACTACCATGATACATTATTTGTTTGTGCATATATTCATGAATATTCGTAGCAGCATCATTTATAATAGCCAAAAAATAGAAACAACATAAATGTCCATCAGCTGATGAATGAATAAATACATATATGATATATGTGATACATGCATATGATGGAATATTTCAGTAGTGAAAAAGAATGAAGTGCTGATACTGGTACATGTTGTATACACATATGAATCTTGAAAACATATGCTAATTGAAAAAAAGCCATTTATGTGAAATGTCCAGAATAGGCAGATCCATAGAAACAGAAAGTAGATTAGTGGTTACCAGATGCTGAGGTGGAAGGATTAGAGAGCATGATGAATGGAGAATGACTGCTAATGGGTACAAGGTGTCTTTTTAGGGTGCAAAAAATGTTCTAAAATTAGGATAATTGCACCCTCTATGAACATTTAAAAACCATTGCAATAGACATGTTTATTGGGTGAATTTTATGATATTTCATGAAATATCCCAGTAAAGCTGTAAAAAAAAATTAAAAGGTCCTAGCTTGGCTTAATTGGAAACATGAATATATAACAATAGAAATGAAGTCCCCAGGATCAAA